ACTTAAATGGAATAAACAGACCCCTTCATAAAAATGGTGCATCAAATCCAAATATATGTTGACGTATATATTAAACGCAAGTAGTACATTCCATATGCAATTCCTTCCTGTACTTGTTTCAGAAACATTATCTGTTTTTAAATCATTTTCGTATTCCTCTTCTTTTCTAAGCAATTTTTCATCTTCTACTGTTTGTTTACGAAGTTCTTCTTTTCTGACTCGACATATACGACATGCATAATTCGCACTAAAACTTTCAACTAATCCGCAGATTTTATGGACTCCTAAATTATCCCCGGGTATGCATACAAAGAAAATAATCCTTCAGTCTCTAATTTAATTAATTCTTTTAAAAGTTGTCGAAAACACATTTGATTTCCAAATGCCGCTCGGAGATCGTCATGAAAAAGTAACGTTAAAAAAATATTTTTCAGTGAACCTCGAAACTGTGGCGGTAAAACAGGAATATACCAATAAATTGCACCTAATTTATGAATTCCGGCATGAGAACTCATCGCGTTTTTTGCTTCGAATTCGTCGTAGTTAATTATAATAGGTATAACAATTTTGTCCAGATACTTTGCTTTTATGCTAGCCCACAATGTTCCTTGAATAATATTAGACATAAAATTAGAATCTGTTTCTTTCTCCAAATAATCCATATGATTCAAAATCATATCTAATACTCCGGGTAATGACAGAAAACATTTTAACGTTTCTATTACGGATATTAATTGACCAGTTAAATTAGTAGGAGTTTGAACTTCAATTCCGCTTTCTTTTTTTTAACCTGTGACTGACCTACGACGAATGGTTTTGGTTCGATAAAAAATCCTGTGGACTTGAAAAATTTCAAACCTTTATATCCCGTGTCTAATTCGGCAAACGGGTTTTCGACAACTTTGAACAAATCTGCAAATTTTTGCTTTTCTTTTTCGGAATTAATTGTACTTAAAATTGTATTTTTTATAATATCGAGAGGACCAGAAACGCAAAATTCCGTAGTGAATTCGACAATATCTTGAACAATACTTCTTGGGATACAGTTGTGATTGTACAATTTCAGTAAAAAATTGACGGTTGAATCTTTTGATATATTTTTTAACTCAAGTGGCGTAACTTTTAACGAGGGTGATTTTTCAATAAAACTAGGCTTATCCTCAGGTATTGTTTCTAATGTCGGGAAATACGGAACACTTAAACTTATATTAAAATTTTCTGCTGTCATTTTCAGAGAATCATAATGTTCTTTTTTTCAATGTGCTTTTTAAAAGCATAAACATTTTAAAATTCAAAAATGCAATCGCCTTGTTTGCATTTATATCGATTATTCAAAGCAAGAAAATGTTGCAGTTGAAAATGACGAATCAAAAATGATGGAGTTTTGAATTGATCTCCGCAAATATAACATAGAAACATGATAAACATTAAACAAAAACTAACATATTTAAATAAACGCTTCCTGATTTCTTGTTTAATAGGTCAATTATTCAAGCTTCTAACTATTACGTACCGTTATGACTTAACAAAAGTCTATAAAGATGCAAAATCTTAAAACTCGCAGAAGTACTTTATTTAAATCTCGCGCTCTTCTTGGATACAACGTAAAATTGTATTTACACCTGCAATTGTTTTATCCCACGCAGTATTCTGTTTGTAGATTCCCTTTTGTATCAGCAGCCTGACTTGAGGACAAATCACTGGATACTGTGCATGGAGAATATGAAAAGCTTTGTAGCACAAGTCTACCGCTTTCAAAATTGTTGAGACTTTATATACCGCCGATTCAATAAAGACATATATAGCATTTATCTAGTCTCCATTCAACAAAAAACTGTCCTTCTCTACTAAATTGAAAAGCAAAATCACTGTCTATCTACAATTTTATGGAACAATTTTAATTTAACTAAAGTAGTAGTTTATTACATGCCTTTAAAATTTTGAACTTTCAAATGAATGAACATTTTTTTTTATTTCGATATTTTTCAAAATTCTTGTATTCTAAGGAAAAATTACAAATAAATCCAATATTTATTAAATAAATTATTTACTTTTTATGTGACAATTAAAAGGAGACTGAGATCATGTTTTCAACTATATAAAGATTTTAATTTATATTTAGTACAAAATCATTTTTAATGATTATATTATCATTAAAGAATTCCTTGCAAAAAATTAATATAAAAATGATTTTATCCAAAATTTCAATTAATTCCTTCATATAGCTTTAATACGGGCCGATGTTTAAATATGGTTTCAATATTTCCAGGAACTGACTGAAAATCTTTGAGTCGAAAATCTTGGCTTTTTGTGAAGTTTTTGACAACTAAATCCCACGGTTCAAAATTATTCATTAGCCACTGAACAGCCTCATTTTGGCAACGCTCTTGATCTAAAACTTAGTATTTTAATCGTATTTAATAATTTACATTTATAGATTCAATTTTTATTTAAATAAAATGAAATAAAAAAAAAGAATTTTATAGTAGGTGTATTGCTTACGTCTGATATTAATTTCTTCTTCGTTAGCATTATTTTCTGGTGCAGTTTCCTTTTCTACAAAGAAGCCAAGTTTTCTCTGAGGTGTAATCCAATTTCGGTATTTATCTGGCAGTTTACCTTTACTCATAAGTTGTTCGGGTCCATCGGTTTTTGGTGGTATATAATATTCGCTTTCGTCTTCTTTTGGAAATACTGTCTTTATTTTATTTGCTAAAGTAGCAAAGTTGTGATTTTTCAAACGCGGCCTTAAAACGAATATAAAAAATTGTTAAATTTTTTTCAAAATTATATTTCACTTGTTCAGTGCATTATTGATTTTTGCGGAAACATTTTGGAATTTGTTGTTAAATATTTATGAAAATTAATAATTTTTTATAAAATAATTCGGCGGTTGAGGGCAGTAAGATGCTAATTCAAGTAATTGTTGAAAAACATGCCTTTTCAGATGCATCAAACTTTTTGGTTATTTCAAGTTAAAAGTACTATGACATCACTACGATTAATGTTAGTAATTATTTTGTAAAATTAATCTTCAACCTTCAATAATACACTTTAAAATATAAGTTATAAAACTTTTTGTTTTTTTTATTTTATTTCTATTCGTCTAAAATGCACAAAACAATTAAACACTTGAAATGTCATGTTTTTCACATTTATGCTGAAATGGCATGTTTTTTAACACTTACCTGAATTGGCATCTTTCTGCCCTCAACTTTTTTTTTCAACCAACGAATTTATAAGTTAATAATTTGATTGTAATGACTTACAATTGAATTTTAGTACTGTATTTATCCGGTATTAATGGCTTTTCCATAAGGGTATTTATAATTATGTCAACCAATTTTTTTTGAGCATCAGAATTTAAAACTTTTTCTCTATTCAAGGCAAGAAATAATTTCCCAGTATACTAATTGTCTAACAATTTTTCCAAATCCTAAAAAAATGTCTATTTGAATTCGGTTTTTGATTAAATACTTTTTGTAAATAGAAACTTTAATGTGACGTACAAGTGAATAAAGATCAAAAACTGCATTGCCTATTAAATTTGTTGTTCTGACTTGGCAAACATTTCCAGTGGATTTTTTTGATATAGCAGGCGGTTTAGAGTTAGTTTTAGGAGGTCCTGCTTGACATGTTTCTGTTTCTAATAGTAAACGTTCGCATTCTGAATTTTTTGATGAGGTATTCTCATTAGGGTTAGTTTTAGAAGATCCTGCTTGGGATGTTTCTATGTCTACTAACGCTTGTTCGCATTGTGCATCAAAAATTATATCAAAATTGTTAGCAGTCTGTTCATTTAAACGTGACTTTTTAGGAGGCCGATTTTTAGAAATCGTCATCTAATCTTTCCATATGCCGCTTTCTGTGCAATTCATCGGCCTATCGTGAAATAATAACAATAAATTTCTTGCGATTAATAATTAATATAAAAAATAGACAAACGTTTATGTAATATTTTATTTCACCTCTTTCCGTTCTTTGTAATAATCTAGAAAATTTTTAAATTTTGATTTTAGGCCGTACAAATTTTATGCGCCTTTTTACTTTCCGGCGGCTCAAATGTTACATATTTCCAATAATCCTAAAAACATAAATCTCAAAACAGATGTTCAAAATCTCAGTTCATTTTATTATAATTTAATTTTTGCCAATAATAAAAATAGTTCTGATTCACAACAATAACAGTTTTTGGGATTCAAATTTAAATTTTGTTACCTCTCTATTAACTATATGTTACCTCACTTCAGTCCTCCTCATGTGTGTTTTAATATCAATCATTCACATTGATCTTAAAATTTTTAATAATTAGTATTTAGTGGTATGTTATTTAATTTTATAATTGTAAATAATTCAAGTATTTTTTTAAAACTAATTTATGTTATTTATATTATTTTTTTAGTCCTGAAGATTAGTTGGTACCGACCCGAAACGTCGACACAATAATTTTATTTTTATAATAAATTAATAAAATATTTTTGACCGATAAGCCTGTTATAAATCTTATTATTAAAAATTTATTAATATTTATAATAATATGTAGAATGTATTCTGCTAAAAGCACTAGTAATTCATTGTACGGCCCTGAGGACATTTTTCCGTAGAGCGGACTAAGACTAATGCCGTACGCTCTTGGGAGTTTCCAGTGTATTAAAATAAATTAATATATTATTTATTAGTACATCTAACTTGTCTAGTCCTTTGTATTTTTCTGTATATATCTTGTAAGTAATCTCACATGAATACTTATCTGTGGTCTCATGTGAGATCTTATGTACGTTTTTTAAGTAGAAACGTTATAAATATATGTTTAAATAAACATTTGTATGTATCAAAATTTAAACCACTATATAATAGTTCGATTAATCGCTCAAGTATCAAGTAGACGTTTTTTGACCAAGTATATAATGAGAAGAAAAAAGTCCCAATTAATAAGAAATGCAAAAAATTATGCAAGGGGCCATTCAATAACATAGTAATTTTTAAAATAATTTTTACAGGGAGAAAAAAATAATGGATTTGATGTTCTGTATCATAATATGAAGCATGGTGTTGTCGCAAGTAAGGAGTTAGCTGACTTTTTTCGGGAACGTTCGGCTATTGAAGACAACAATTATAAACTTTTTAGTAAATTAGCAAAACAAGTTAGCAGTAGCAATTCTGTTCAAGGGACATTTACGCCTGTATGGGTGTCTTTAAAGGCTGTTCTTGAAAAATTGGCAGGTTTACATTTGCAAATGGCACAAAAAGTCAGTGAGCTCATTAAAGATGTATCTAAATATTCAGATGAACTTCATAAAAAGCATAAAACGGTATATTTCACTCATATTTTAATATTCTATCTTTTAGAGTTGCAAAATATGTGACTAAGAAAAATACAGTAATTTGACTCTTTTAGAGCTTTAAAAATCGATGTTTTTTACAAATAATTTAATATTATTATTATTTGGTTAATTGAAGACTACGTTCCTTATAGGTAAAAGAAGAAGAGGCATCAACTATTGAAATTGTTCAGAGCATACAGAATGTTACTGTCACATTACAAAAAGCTAGAGACATTTGTTTTCAACGTGGCTTTGAGTTAGAAAAGTTAAGAAAAGATAATGCAAGTCAACGTGAGCTTGAGAAAGCTGAAGTAAAATTTAAGAAAGCGCAAGATGATTATAAAACTTTTGTTGAAAAATATAGCATTATTCGAAACGACTTTGAAAGCAAAATAAGTCAAGCTTGTAGGGTAAGTATTTATTAAATTTTTATTTCTTTACCCACCTGCAAAGAAACCCACATTATAAAGCTTTGAAGACTGATAGGTTTAGGGAATTAAAATAGATTATTAGCTAAAATATTCGAGGTCACAAATCACTTTAAATTATAAAGTCATAAAACAATCTTAAAACGCAGTATGAAAAATAATAAACCCTTAAACTCGTAATGAAGGTATAATATAATCTATAGTGATAATATTTTTTATATTTTAAAGCGATTTCAAGTAATAGAAGAAATGCATTTAAAGCAAATGAAGGAATTTTTAGCAATATATATGGACGTTCTTCAAACAAACCACGAAGAAGTAGGTCAAGTACACGCAGATTTTAAAAATCACTGCCTCGATTTAACAGTCGAAGAATTATTGCAGCAGTTTGTTCAAAGTAAATGTACCGGTTTTGAAAAACCAGGTAAGAATTGAAATTTACTTTTGTATTTAAGGTTTTGTTCATTTGTGACTTCTGTAAATTTCCCAACACGTTGTAGTGTAAATGGTAACTACACTCAACTGAATATCCATAAAAAAATAGTTACCATCAACACTGCAGTGTGGTGTATGATAAATCTTCTCGCTGTCAACACGAGGCAAGCAGGGTATAATAAGAGTACATGGAACAGATTAGCTGAATAGATTTCTGCCAATCAGGTGATTGCAGGGGATTTCTTGTTTTTCTACTCAGCGTTCCTACACATTCGTTTTAGACCGAGTTAATAACGTGTTGTTTAACAACAAACCATAATGTTCGAAAGTAGAATGTTTTATTTTCGAATATTATTGTTTTTTAAAAATATTTGTTAACTTTTATAAAGCTCACGAAATAGCAAAACAGTAGAGTGTACATAGTCACGTTATTTACTCGGTTTAAAACGGATGCGTTTAGGAACGTTGGGTAGAGAAACAAGAAATCGCCTACAATCGCCTGATTAGCTGAAATCTACACTTCTAATCTACACCATGTGACTGTACCCGAAGAGCAAAGTAAGGGAGAAATCAGTGAGAATTGAACTACTTACATACACGGAAAGAAGGTTTCACCTATAAACCAGATTCACAATATGACAGCTGAAATCACAGTGTAGAGCATCGAAAAAAGAAGTGTAGGCATGCATGCATGCATCTAAATTTAAGATGACGCGTATGGCGACACTCTAAATTTCAATGCCGTGCACCGATATATATCGTAGTGCCACCGTGTTAACCAGTGAACATCATGGAAAATAAAGGTGCCGGCCTAAGCACCAATATTTCCTGTGCGTGCAACCGTGTTTTTCGGTGACTGCACGATGATTATAGGTGAAACCTTTTTTCCGTGTAGGTAGGTACAATCAGAGTCGCGACTCTCCCGTTGCATAAACGGCAACTATTGCGCATGTGTCAATTGGAAAATCAAATTTATTTTCGTTGATCTACGTTACTGACGACCGCATATATTTATTATCATTATTAATATTATCTTTTTATTAATATTTTAATTTAAAAGGATGAATCAGAATTATGTTCTCGATTTCCCCTTAAATTAAAAAAATTAAAGAAGATCTGTCTCCCACGAAAGCGGAGAAAAAGGCAACAGAAGTTCTAAAGTCAGAGTCAGAGAAAAGAAAAAAGGGAGAGAAGAGGATCAACATGGTTGTCCGAGTTTCTAATGGGAAGTCGTATGCTGACGTTCTGAGCAAACTACGCAAGGAGGTAAATCCGGAAGTCAGCAACACGAGAGTGGTACGCATTAGGCATACCAAAAAAAGGAGATATCCTTATTAGAATCGCAGGCGAATTCAATAGAGGCTTTCACAGCAAAAGTTACCAAGGCTGTATGAGAAAGGGACAGTCTGTGGATCGAAAAGTTACGCTTGAGATCCGCGACTTGAATTGACCCGCGTGAACTTAGCACCTTTTTTCAAAGATATTCAATTTTTCTATAGAGTTCTCGTTTTCTAAACCATAGTTCTACAATTCTGTTACTATAATTTCAATAGTTCCGTCAATTAAATAAGGAAAAATCGAAAAAACGAAAATAAGGTGCTAAGTTCACGCAGCACCTGTTTTATCGCTAAAAAGAGTTCTGACACGATAAAAAGGTTCTCAATAAATAGTTCTATAGTTCTATAAAAAAAATTAATATTTCTAAAAAAAAAAAAATTTCAAATATTTTCAAAAATAATTTTTTTTTTCAAAAAATTTTCAAAATTAAGATTCTGAATTTTTAAATTAATAATTTTTAACATCAAACATCCGTACATACACTTTAACTTTTTCTATTGCAATTTTTTGAAAAAATCAAAAAATTTACAGCTAATCAAAGTCCGCTAAAAATTTTTTTAATTAAAATTTATCAAAGTTCCAACAGTTCTGACCAGAGTTCTGATAGCACTTTTAATAGTTCTTTAACTTTTTCTACTGCAATTTTTTGAAAAACTCGAAACCAAAAAAGTTATAGCTTATCAATGCCCGCTAAAAATTTGTTGCTTTTAAAATACATAAAATTTCCATCAGTTCTGTCTAGTGTTCTGTTAGCACTGTTAAGTTTTTTACAAAAAAATTGCAATAGAAAAAGTTAAAGAAATCTTAAAAGTGCTATCAGAACTCTGGTCAGAACTGTTGTAACTTTGATAAATTTTAATTAAAAAATTTTTTAGCAGATTTTGATAAACTGTTAATTTATTGATTTTGAGTTTTTCAAAAAATTGCAATAGAAAAAGTTAAAGTGTATGTACGGATGTTTGATGTTAAAAATTATTAATTTAAAAATTCAGAATCTTAATTTTGAAAATTTTTTGAAATTTTTTTCTTTAGAACTATTAATTTTTTTTATAGAACTATAGAACTATTTATTGCGAACCTTTTTATCGTGTCAGAACTCTTTTTAGCGATAAAAAAGGTGCTGCGTGAACTTTGCACCTTATTTTTGTTTTTCCGATTTTTCCTTATTTAATTGACGGAACTATTGAAAGTATAGTAACAGAACTGTAGAACTATGGTTAAGGAAAAGAGAACTCTATAGAAAAATTGAATATCTTTGAAAAAAGGTGCGAAGTTCAAAAAAAACCAAAAAGAGGCGGTCAGGCTGGAGCATTTGGGGCGCATAAAGATAGGTTTTATGTAGTGCCCAATAAGGAGAAGATTGATAATCAGAAGATGACATCGATGTCTTGATTATGTCCCCATGGGAAAGGTTTGTAAGGCGGATGACAGATCGGCTGCGTGTTTTAGGTACGGTGAACCTGATCATGAGTTCACAAACTGCTTCTTATGCAACGAGAAGTACGGTGATAAGGTGAATAACAACCATATCGCCAGTACAAGAATTTGCAGAGCCTTCCGATCTGCTCTCAAGGCAGCGAAGAAGGCTCTTGCAAGGACAAGAAAGAAATAGGCCAGAAAGATCTGCAACGGCAAGAAACGCGAAAACGTGATCCTACGGACCTTCGTCTATGAAGTTTAAAGCTTTGACGGTAGTTGCGTAGTGTGAGGATTAGTCCAGTTTGGGTTTTAGTGGGTCGACCAGAACAAAAGCAGTCATCACCATATAACCACGGGCTCCTGGTATCTCCTTTAAATACCAAGGCTTATGCAGATTTTCCAGTTCCCTCATAAAAGAAAAAAAACTAATAATATTGCCTTTTCTAAACTTACATCTGTATCCACAAAAGATCAAAATCTCACGTGAAATCGCTCATATATTATATATTCTATTAATGTGATAAATAAATTTGATTTTAAAATTGGCACATGCGCCTTATGTTCTCCGTTTATACAATTAAAGAGCATCGGCTGTGTTTTCCAAAACGGCCTATAAAGTAAGTGCTCCGTATAATACTTCGTGCTTTTAATCAAGATAAAATGGTCGTGAATATAACCTATAATTCGTTTACTTTTTAGGTCCCTTTCTTCACAGCGCGTCACATGTGTATATCACAATTATTTAAAATTGAAATTTCTAAAACTATATATTTCAATAATATTGCAATGCAATATTACAATAACATTACATGGCAATATTGCTGGAAAGTGACATTAATATTTCAGTAATATTGCTGTAATATTTTCGGAAAAGTTACCATTATTGTCATATAATACTGACGAAATTTAAAGTATTATCTGGGTATTTTTTATGCATGTATTAAAATTGTATTTTAGTTTATAATATTCTATATACTCGTGCTAAAATATTTTCATATGAATAGGATTAATAGAATATGAAGAAGTAATGACAAGTTTAGCAGAGATTATGAGTCAATCTTCCGAAGATGTAAAAAATTCGGAGCCACTGAAAGAAGTATCTAAAGGCACTAATGCTGAAACTGGAGTTGCTGGTAAGTAAATTTTATGCAGAATTGTTTTTATAATCTTGTTATTTTTATTTGAAATTATATATGGTTGTTGCTCTACTGATGAATCAGTTAAGTTCCTCAATGATTTTTCTGCAAAAACATTAATGGTAATTAAAACGTTGTAAACTACATAATTTTCCTTTTACAGGTTTTCTTCGAAGTCGACGTGAAAAACGGAAGGAAAAGAAAGCGAAAAAGAAAAAAGAATCTATTGATGTAACTAGTAACAAGGATGAGAAATCTGATCTGTAAGTTTGGCACATTTTTGACATTAAATTGTATCATTTAAATTAATACATTTTGTGTTAGCGAATCAAAATCCACCGTATATAACTTTCTCTTTTTTTGAGATATTTTAACCTTTACAGGAGGCACCTATTTTTTCAAGCACGAAGCACACAGGGGGTCTGTGTGACCCTAGACAGTTTTCAAAGTTCTATCATTTCGAAAGTACTCATCCCTTTAATTTAAAAAGAAATTTCAATTCGGGTAGAGATATTGTCGTACGGGAGGGAGAACAGGGATAAAATAACTAGCTTGCCAATATAAAGGTAGCCCCAAAGATGAAAATGCATTCATCTCAAACATTCGAGGCATCTTTCTGAATCCTTGACGTTGTAAAATAAACGTCAGAGGATTACAAAATAGAGGCTCGGCAGAATTATACGATGCAGCGTACCTAAAGTCGTCGCGCTTGCGTCAGACGAACTGTCCATCAAAGCAGAGATAACCTCCAAGCTCTCTTACCACTTCCACATTAGGGGTCCAAATCACGTCAATTGGTGCCACCTCAGGCTCCAGGTCCGGAAATCTTCCGCGCAAAAAATTCAAAAATCTCGGTCGCGCCTTCGCGTACAGGGCACAAGAAAACAAGATGTGAGGCAAAGACCTCAAGGCTGCTCCGCACCGGCAACCCATGTCCATGTCCCAGCGCATTGTCTGAAAGTGTTCGGCAGTACAAACATGACCCGTACGCAATCTGGTTATCTGATTAATCCAACTCCGCGGCAACTTAATGTCCTCAAACCAGTTCAGCTGTAAGCATGGAAACGTTAGGCCGCAAAAGAGTACGAATAAAAAATTGCTTGGCTCCACATAGAATGTTGAAGCTGCCAAGCCACTGGAGGGGTCGTAGGTACCATCTCCAACTTGCGCAAATATATATTAAAAAGAAGAGGGGAAAGAACAACGCCCTGTGGTACACCAATGCCACAAACCCTTGGATTAGAGCCATCCGCCGAGAAAGAAATCAGACTCTTGGACGTTATAAACGTATTAAAGTTGATGATATTCGGTTAAATTTCCAAATCCAACAGGTCTGCGTCAAGGATGTCAGGTGTTACATTGTTAAAAGCTTCCTTAATATCAATAGCAATAGCTAACGTGTTAAGAGACCGGGCAAAACCATTTCTAACATCCGTTACAAAAGCAGCCACACAGTCAATGGCAGACCTGTTTTTACGAAAACCATATTGGTGTTTAGGGATTATTCTCCTCATTTCTACCTCGTGTTCAAGCCTAAATTAAACCAAACATTCAAAAATTTTGCAAAAGACCGAAGTGAGAGCGATAGGTTGAAAGCCTTTGGCCCCCACACCGAATGGTCAGTGTGACCCTAATTCGATTTTCAAAACATTTACAAGCCATAAGACTTGTCTAATGTAGATGGTAGGTATCGGAACATGTAGTCAGTACCTGAAACTTCAAACAGCGTCAGACTTGCCAAATTTAAATATGTGTAAAAGATATACTAAGCAAAAGTTGAGATTGGGGTCTCACAGACCCCCGGTGTGCTTCAAGGGTTAATAAATGATGGCTTAAAATACTCATAAGTATATAGCCTTGAAAATTAAATGTAAAAAAATCGATTTTTTGAGAATGTTAGGGTGGTGTAATACATTAATAAATTAATAATTTTTAGTATTATAATTTGCATTTAATAGGACTAAAGTTTATGTAAAATTTTACCCTGTTTAAAATTTTTACCTGGGTTACTTCACGTTGATATACTTTTTTAGAGACGATAAAGAGGAAGGAAGAAAATCTGAAACACCTACACCTGAAGTAGATGAGGATGGATTTTGTATCAAACCTAAAGCTGATTCATGGGACAGTGAAAGATGCTTTTATTCAAGTTCTGATTCAGACTCAGATGATGAGAGAGATAAGAAAATTCATGTGGAAATAAAACCTTTAAGTAATGGAAACACTCCTATTAGCGCTAGTGTTGATGAACTTAGAGCAACAGTTGAAAGTCTCTCATTAATGTCAACTAACACAGTAAGACAAAGTTTTTATATTATTATTATTATTATTCCAGAATTAAAACTTAGCACCGGCATTATTATTATATTAATAAAGCAATATAGGTTTTGTTTGTATTGTTCTAAAATCTATTTTTCAACAGGTTCGCAGAGATTTGCATTCTGATTCAGATTATCATATGAAAAGGTCACAATCCGTCTTACAACAGTTATCAGGAACTCCGAGTTCAGACCTGCTTGGTTTAAATTTATCCAATTTATCTGGCATACCATCTAGTGCTTCAACTCCAATTGCCAGTCACCCTTATGCACCTCTTCAAAGTCCTCCACTTCTAACGTCACCGTTAGTACCACAACTTGATTCCCAAGCAATTACATCAAAATTTCAAGGTATGTTGAAAGTTTCACAAAAGCTGCTTACTTTACCAAGGTAAAGCCTGTTCTAACAATCAAAGGGGACTCAAAAATCAAAGATATAATTTAGTTCGAACTAAGTCTGGTCAAAGCTTTAAATTAACAGAAGAAACATAATTAACTTTAAACACGCAGTTAGACAAAATCTGAAGTAGCAAAATACTAAGTTTAGAGCAATTGTCTATCTTCAATCGACTGGCGCCCGCAGATTTGTTTAATTAAATTAATTTATAATCTGAACCCCTAGCGGTTTTCAACCCGGCTGCGCCAGGTGAACGTAGTTTTCTATACAAATTATTAAATTTCAAAAAATAAGAAGGTTGATTGTCTCAATTTCAAAACTTTATTTTATAAATCTTCCATAACTAAATAAGCGATTGACGGTTACAAAAGACAACCAATAGAAGTGCCAAAAATACTTATTAAATAAGACTGACTGATTTTTTACATCTTTTATTATAATAAACAGTTTAAGTAATATTATTTTTTTGCATAGATGGTGACTTATTTTCGGAAGTTGGTAATATAGCTGTTGATTTACCTCAAAAACAATCTTCTTCTTCTTCCTCTTCTACACCAACTGGAACTATTAATATTCCTAGACCCCCTTCGCGTAGAGGTGAATGTCAGTCTAATAGAGGAAGAATATCCCCAGCAACGATTTCAAGAGCAGATAGTATAGCAAGTTTAGAATTTCGAGCATCAGGAGTTGGAATGGGCACATCAAGAGGTCCATCTCCACTAACAATTGGCCTTGCTGACACAATTCCATTGGCAGTAGCGTTTCATGAAATAGTACACTCTTATTTTAAAGGTCCAAATGAAACTCTTTGCCAAGTACGATTAAGTGGAGACATGATGTTATCGTTTCCTGCTGGAATTTTAACTGTACTAACCAATAATCCAAGTCCTGCAAAGCTGATATTTCGTATAAAAAACAGTGACAGATTGGAAAAAGTTTTACCTAATTCTCAACTTATCAATAAGTAAGTAACTTTCTATTTACTATGTAATTCTTTAATACTATTTAAAAAATATTAAATATAATAGTGTGTCCTGGAAAAGAATTTATTATATTCTTGATTAAATTATTTTCATTTATATTCTAGGGATGTTACACAAGCAAGTGTTGAAAGTATGTTATTTGAATTCAACATGAGTGCCTTAACTACGTTATTAAGAAAGCAAGCAGAACAAAATCCAACAGCATCATATTTTAATGTGGACATTTTAAAATATCAAGTGAAAGCTAGAGAAGGAGCTACATCCTGCCCATTTCATGTAGTTTCTTATTGGAAATGTGAACCTAATCATACAGATCTTAAGGTACGTAATAAATACTTCATAAGGATCGCATATAAGATTCAAATCAGCCGCATTTTAATATCTTTTAATTTAGTTTTAATTGAACTTTTCGCGACCTGTTTCCTCGGTATGTGAATTTTCCAGTCCCCAAACATAGCAAATTGAAACTGATATTGTACAGAGTTCTGAGTACCGATTTTTCAGTTCCATTTTAGTTCACTTTTTCGGTAGGTTATGATTTGTAAATTTTTTTTCCCACGAAATATTTTCCCTCAGGATAAGTCGAGGACAGATTATTTTTCTGTTATAGTTGGCATTTTACAAAAAGAATTATTCAATGCTTGTAAGTTTCAGAACTATCCCTTAAGATAAAAATCATGTACATGGGAGATTTTAGGTGAATTGATCAAGTTGAAAATAGTACACTGTGCATCGAGTGGAAGGCATAAGAGATTACCGCAAGCGCAAAGTATGTAATCACACAAGTGGAAATCTCAGTCTCCCACGAGGTGCACATACTATTTTCTTTTGATACTACAAAGGGAAATAAAATTGAGGGGGCAAAACATTGATTTCCAAAAGCCATGCAAAAATGCCGAAATAGGAGTGGATCTCATGCAGATTCTAAGAGCTGCATTCTAAACTCTGTCTAAAATTTTAAGATTGGAAGAAGCAGAGTTAACAAAGAAGGAAGCGCCCACTCCAATATAGCTCAAATAATGCCCCGATATACCATAAGAGAAAGAACCGGGGATGTTACCCAAAAAACCCTAGAAACAATTTTCAAAATGCCAAGGGCTCTTATGGCTCCGTCAGTAATTTGCTTTACATGGAGAAGCCATGTTAGTTTTCTATCAAGTATAATGCCTAAATATTTCATTGTAGTGTCACATCTGATATGAGTACTTCCTATGTGTAGTCTCAAGTCGTGAGAAGAGAAAAACCTCATATGTCAAAGAGTCGATCATCCCAACAGGAGTAATGGGCATTAAAGTTACCCCAATAGATATCGTTTTGGGTAATAGGTTGTTGTTTATAAACACAAATGGTCTGTGTAGACCCAAACATCGTAACGCAGCTATAATGAAAAGGGTGGCTACGCTCTCAATTTTTATGAATTGGGGTTAATATATTTATACACAATTCCTTCTACGTTTTGAGAAAAAGGTGGCCCTGAAAGGGCCGTTTGCTGTGTGGACTTCTTTCTCCCTAAAAAACCAGCTTGCGTTTAACAAGCTCGATTACGACAGAGCGTATCTTAGGTTTTGGATTCTCTTCTTGAATAGAGGAACTGTCCAGAAGAAGAACGTCTTCCTTTTCGTCGACTCTGGCTTGAGAGAAATCTAATGATTTCCCCGGTGTAGGGGGAAGTTCGTCTGCGGTCGCCGGCTTTGTTGGTTCCCAGAAGGAGCGGTTCTTTTTCTCTAACTCTAGTTTTTTTGAGTTTCCTTCCGTAGGTATTTTATCTGTCGATATGGCGGAGGAATCGCAATGTGGATCCCAGCAGGCACAATATTTTGAAGATGACGTGCCAACTGTCTTTTATTGGCCAGGCGATTCCGGGGATTTGGCCGGTTCTTCCTAGTGGTTCTGGTTCCCTCAGAAGACTTCTCGCCTTAGTCCGCCACGATGTTTTAATGGAAGAAAATGATAAAGAGAAAATGGTTTGATCTCGCCACCGAGAGGGTAACAGAGCTGGAGAGTGGAATTAGCGTCTCCGAATGGAAGACAGCTCAGGAGCACTGGTGTAAAAGAAAGAATAGTATGGAGAAATATGTTTAAGAACTCAAATTTTTCAATGATTGGTCGTTCCGAGAATGGTTGGGAGAGTGGCCACATCTACCCAACATTCTCGTTCAATGGATCCAATTTGCCTCGCTTGACCTTCAACTCAATGATGCAAGTGAAATAAAATAAGTTTGTTGCGCGTTATCGCGTGCGACTATCTTATATAACACCAAAGCTACCACATCACATCAATATACCAACAAAAACTATTTCAACCTGTTCTTAATGCGTGTTTCCTGCAGTAGTGCGTCTGCGAATTGATAATATTGAATTAATTAAGTCATCAGGTCCAATTTTAGAACTGATGTTTGCAGGTGATAGATCTATATCTACATTTACTAGGGTTTTTCTGCTAACTAAGGATTGAGGAATGAATGCTTTATAACCTTCTGAGTTGAAAGTGGAACTGTTAAGTAAAGAATTTGCTAAATTCCAGGAGGTGGGGGTAATAATGATTTTGTTTTTCCCGTTAGCGACTATAATACGCAGAGGGTCGCTTACTAATTTCCCAAGATGCTCGGCAAAGGCTACTCGATTGTATTTATTTGTCCAAATTCCTCTCCGAAGAAGTAGACTCAATCAAGCTTTTGAATGGTTCCTAACATTTTGAATTAAATCTTGCTTCGTCGGACAGTGATTTATTAATCCACATCAACTCATATGGAAATGATTGTTCATTTGAGTTTAAAGATGAAGACGGTCGAGAAGAATCTGAGTTATTAGTATTAAGCAAGACATTGGAAGGAGAAATAGGGAAATTATTCAAAATTTTACATAAAAGATGTTGACCTCAAAGGTCCCAGTCTGGGGAGCACAGTAGCACCACCTCTTCGCTGTGCTCTGCCACGAGATTTAACAATTATCCAAGTTCCGATGCGCTTCATCGATAAAAATTTACATTTATGAAATGATGTTACCATTTTATGAAAGTTTTTGTTTTCTTCGTGCCACTTAATATGTAATTTTTTGTTATTCTAGATTGACTACAAATATAACAGTCGAGCGATGGCATCACCTAGCCCTTTACTAAATCTGCAAGTCGCAATTCCAATTGAAGGGGGTTTTAAAAGTTACCAAAGTAAGCCTAACGCTCAATGGGTGTCAGGAACAAATCGTCTACTATGGAAGTTTACAGAATTATCTCAATACAGTGAAGGAAATGGTGTTGGATCATTGAAGGCGCGAGTGGATTTGGAAAATGGGCCGGGATCTCAAGGGACAATACATATACAATTTAATTGCGAGGGCACTACCTTATCAGGTGTAGATTTCGAACTTGTGGGGCCTGGGTATAGACTCAGTTTGGTAAAACGCAGATTTGTTTCAGGTTTGTAGACTTTTCAATTAAATTTCGTAGCAAGTTCATTATCAAACTATCAATGCAATATAATTCAATGTTGCAATAAAATTATTAAATATTTTTTCCCACACAGCATTCGAATATCCTTTTATTCGCATAATTAAATTTTCTTAAACAATTTTCAGGCAAATATATATGTGATGGAGATATTGATCCACGTGCACGCATTTCAGAAGCATCTCTTCGTCATGACTAAATACTCAATTGGAGTTCTATTAAACAAATACTTCGTCAATGATGCAGAAAAAAAATTGTGACGCCAGGAAGTTTAAAAAACCAAAGAGACTTATTTAATACAAATTAGAATCGTTTAAAACATTATGTCTAATGACATAAAATAATTAAAGATTCACATCCAGAAGCCTTAAGTCAATACAATTTGAAATTCAAATATATAATATATAGTTGTCTGATGAAAATAACAATGTGACAATGTGTTTGTAGTTTCAAGGAAAATATAAGAGAATACGAAAATTGTTATTAAGTGCCTGTAATTTTATTGAAAGAAAATACAAATTTTCATTTAATTACTTACATTTTTTTATTTCGTAATTAATAATTAAGTTACGAAGTTGATAAAACAAAACCAATAAATAAAATTTCTCATTTTCTTTGCAGTTTATACTTCAACTAATCAAAAAAATATTAATGAAATAATTACAATAAACATATTACAAACAATTAATAAATAATTAATTAACAATTAAATACATTTTTACCATATAAACATAAATAGTAAAATAATAAATTGTTAAAGTGGAAAAAAAATTTAAGATTTATGCAAAAAATTATATTTTTAAAAATCATTAATTCAACAATACATGGTATGACACGCGCAAAACTTTATTTAAATTTTTACAAGATTATACACAAATCATTCTACATTTAAGCTTTTTGTACAAATTATTTAGTAGTTACTCTAGTTCTTTTATCCCAAGAAAAATTTGTACCATATGAACGTTGCTTAGGTTGACCTTCAGGTGGTTTTTGTACAGAATATTGCCAACCCATTTTTTTACAATGTTGTATTGCTTCATCTTTCGTATCAAAATTAACTTTAATATTAGACATTGGATCTCCCCTGAAAAAGAGTATAAATAATACATTTTTTTAAAATTTAATTTGTTGTAACTAATTAAAATTATTTATTGGGAATAAAATTAAATATTTGTTAGATTTAAATTTAAAAATAAATTATTTATAAATTTAAATTCTAAATTTTTTAATTATATAAAAAAATTTGCGTGATAATTAGTGAATTAGCGTACTTTATTAAATAAAAGTTGCTTTTTATAGAAAAAATCCGTTTTAAAAAATAGCAAAATTATTCCAACTGAAAATTAATCTCAAAATAATTATTAATTAATAATAATGTTTATTAATGTTTATTACAAAACATAATTAAACATAAAAACTTTTTTGTGAAATTTGGACCGAAATTCGAAAATTTTTATTATCTTTTAAAACTTGTCTACCCGTGTGGAAAAAGCCACGATCTTGCCCTCAAGAGTTCGGGGCCCCCGGCGGGGGCCCATGAGGGCTGATCCATATGGCGAATCCATGAGGGGCACCGTAGGGGCCCGCATGGATCGCCCTCATGATCGATTAGCAAAATTTTCTAAGTCCAAAAATCAAATATTTTTTTATCACCAAAAAATTAATGTTTATAATGATTCAGAACAACGAAAAACGCGTTTTTAATAAAAATATATTTACACTTTTTTGAAAATAACACTCACACTTATGGCAAAATAGATGAGGGCCACCGTAGGGGCCCGCATGGATCGCCCTCATGATCGATTAGCAAAATTTTCTAAGTCCAAAAATCAAATATTTTTTTATCAACAAAAAATGAATGTTTCCAATGATTCAAAACAACGAAAAACGCGTTTTTAATAAAAATATATTTACACTTTTTTTGAAAATTCACCTGAGATGATTCATGATAATAATCATAAAGCATATAATTAATTATATTTTATAAATTGCATTTGATTGGAAAATATAATTTAATATCTTAACTTTAACTAAATGATGTTAAGCACTTTTCTTTGTTAGGTATTTTTGAAGTTTAAATAGCATCAAGAAGTTAGCATTCGTTTTGAAGTAGCGTGCGTAGCGTAGTTGGTAAAGCGTTAGACTCATAGTCCGTAGGTCGTAGGTTCGATTCCCCCCATGCGTTAGATTTATTTATTTCTCAGGTTTGCGTTTAATCATTAATTCTATGTATGAATTAATTGAAAAATGGAAATATCCGTTAATAGTATGCATAAATTACATATTTTTTAATTTTTTAATTAATTAATTTATTATTACTTTTAATTATATCCGACAGTTAATTAATTAGAACGTTAATTAATAAATTCAATTTGAGTAAGAATTTAATTTAAAATTGAATAATTATTAAATAAATATGTTATTTACTCATAACTTAAGCTTATTTATTATTAATTAACTTTTATTATTCATATTATTGATTAAAAAACATTATGGCAAACTTGAGGGCAAACGTGAGGGCCCATAAGGGCGCCCGTAGGGGCACCCTCATGGATCGCCCTCATCGATGAGCATGTCGTTTCCATGAGGGGCCCCTATGGATCATCCATATGCGGCCCTCATGGCATGAGGGCGATCCATAAGGGCCCCCGCTGGAGGCCCACATCACTTTTCCACACGGGTATAAGAAAATATTTTAAATAAACTTACGTTGAGGTCCATCCCATTAAATTATTTTCCCATCTTTCGCGAGTATCAAATTCAATTTGCCAAAAATTGATATTATTTGTACCAGACTGCATAGCGTTTTTAGCTGGTTGATAAATACGAACTGTCCGACCCTTTATATGTTCTTCAGGTACTCCAGAAACAATACCAACATTCTCCTCTGTAGTAATTGTAATATAACCATGTAGAGCTTCTTGCTGTTGTAATTCTTGTGGATCTTTTAAAACCATTTTAGGGTCTTTCTTCTCAGGTTCTTTTAATTTTGCATTTTCCTCAGCATTAAGAGTACATCGCAAATTACTTGTGGACAAGTGTTTGTATAATCTGTAAACAAAATATATTTCTAGTAAAATATTTAATTAGTAAAAAGTCGTTTTTTTGCTCTTTTTTGGGGTTCCGTACACCTACGGAGAACAACTTATAGAAAGTCTTCGGAGTCCGTCTGAAGTTTGGTACATATAATTATTTTCACGTCTAAATTAGATGAAAAAAATAGTGAACATGATTTGAATCGATGATCATGTTGTAAATAAGGAAAATCTAAAATTTTTATACAAAAAACTTTTTTCTCTTATTTCCATAACAGTCTCATGTTTCGTTTAACGGAGTTTAGGAAATAAATTAAGACACAAGTGATTTAATTATAAATATTTGACCAATAAAAAATATTATTTTATTCGTGGAAAAGTAAATATATTAAGTGTACAACACTTGAACCGACAATGTGTACGAAGTGCTTAACAGTAACTAACTTGTGGAAAATTAACAAGAGCTTGATTAGGGAAAAACTAAAATTTGGCAACGCTGTTTTTCAGTTCAGAAAATATGGCAACAATGTCTAAATTATTTTCAAAATTCGAAAGAATATTGGTTGCAAAAAAAGGTTTGCTAGGTACATAGATTTATTACCCTTAATCTACAGTGCGTAGTTGATGAGACCGTAAGTCATAAACGGCTTATAACCCATGCGGAGGCACATTTTTTTACCTGAATATACTTGTAAAAATGATCTTTTTCTAAACGTGCCAAAACGAAGCAGCGAGAGATATAGATAAATATAAAAAAGGCAGTTGTACATTTTGTAACGATAGGCGTATCGTAAGTATACTCGCCCGGAGAAAGAAAGTAGACGGCGTAAGTAGCAGCGACTCTCTCTTCCCCCACCTCGCGCTAACGCCTATGGCTGCTTAGCGAGAGTATACACGGAAAGAAGGTTGCACCTATAATCCCTGTGTATACACTTGAAACCATGTTGGAGCAGTATATTAGAAGGTGCACACACAAGAAATACTGGTGCAAAGTATTTCCGTGCTATGCGTAACACCTAAATTTTAGAAGCATACACGGCAAAATCCCGTGCCTAGCACTTTCTTTCTCGATGATCTACAGTTTGTTTTATCCTGTCACTTTGTACACCCAGATTATAGGTGCAACCTTTCTTTCCGTGTATACCTGGCGGCTCGCACCTTCTACCTCAGTTCGTCTTCCGAATGGCTTTGAGGTGCACCTCTGGCTAGATGAAAGCGATCTCACTCCCAGTTCCTGGCTACCTGGACTGAATTGAGGCGCTCCTCATTGAATTCAGGTAATACGAGGTATGGTACACTTGACTATGGATGCTTCCGTGTCAAGTGAACCTTACATCATCTCCTTGTTCCTCATCGACTTGGACTTTCTGTAGGTGCTCCTGCGAGAGACCGAGAAGATACCTTCACGTACCTGGAACGTTATCCTTTTGCACCGTTTTCCTAACTAAATTTGCAAACGGAAAGAAGTCGGAAAAGTCGTCAAAATTTTTTAGTCGACATTTTTTTAGTTTTACCCCCACCATATCCTAAATTAGTAAAGTGGAGGGGTTAACAGGTATTCAAGGAGCTACACCATTAGTGAACTCACAGTTTATTGTAACTTGTTACACTAAAACAACCTCATCATTTTTGTAAAGTTTTCCTTTCAAAATTTCTTTTTCTTCTCTTTTACATCATGGGTGTAAAATGGATCTATACCCTAAACAAGGCCCAACTAATTGCCGAGTTAGAGAACCACCAAATCGATTCATCGGGTACCGTCATAGAACTTCATTCAGCACCTGCAACTTTTCATCGTTTAATTGACCTTGTCGTTTTTGCGGAACTCGCATCTAGAGTATTCTCTTATCGAGATGACATAGTTATCACCTCTGAAACGTTTGAAGAACATATGCAACTATTAAAAGAAGTATTTTCTAGACTCCGTGAGGCAAAGTTGGTGCCGAATTGGGAAAAATGTTTCTTCGCAAGGACCCAACTCACTTATCCTCGGCCATCTTGTTGATCTTGATGGACTTCATCCAGACCCGGATAAAGTGGACGCCATATTAAAACTTCCCCTCCCACTAATATTAAGGAATTGCGGACATTCCTAAGTATGATATCCTGGTACAGACGTTTTGTGAAGGATATCTCTCAAGCTATTGCCCCGTTAATAAAATTGTTAAAAAATGATATAGTTTGGCAATGGAACATGGAACATCAATTATTAGCTTTCGAAAATTTAAAATGTAGGCTAGCTTAGACGGTCTTGTGTTGACTCAGAAACAACGAGAGTCAGAATTCATTAGAGCCTATGCAAACAGAACATTGAAATTTAGAGAAAAATTCCTCTTCTAAAATCCTCTGAATATTTTCTCTTAAAATACGAATATTCCATTTCACTGTAGAATATTTTTATTCTTTGTTGTAATGGAACAATGACAAAAGGAGTACTTTTGCATTTAAATGTTTAAATTTAGTATATTTGAAAAAAGGAAAAGTAAATACATGATATCGATTACATTTTTTTCCTGTTTGACATTTGCGCTTTTGTTTCTTGAAACTGTCAATTTTCGTATTTTGTCATAATAGTGTTGTGTTATAAATCAAAAGACCAAAATGGAAAAGAGACTCGAAGATTTACTAAATGATTTAAATCTGGGTGGATATATTGAATGGCAGTATAAATACAGAAAATATAACCTCTCGATGAATCTACATTTCTTACTAATTTTCTTAAATATTTTCGTCGAACTTCTTTGATATTTGCAACTGGCTATAGCATTTTTTATTATTATTGTAATTAAATCTAATGTATTGATGCTCAGCAAAAAGCAAGACATTTTTTTCAGAAATGTGTAATTAAAAACCAATATTTCATTCTTTATTCCAGGAATCTATTATAATTTACCTTTTTGAATGTAAATAATTAAATTTAATAAATATTTATTATATTATTCAAATTTAAAAAAATTATTGGTTCTCTTGACATTAATAACATTAGGAATTTTTTTTGTTGAGGTTTTGATATCAACATTTAATTCAATGTGTCAAAACTGTACTTTATTATCAATACATAACCATTATTGTCTAATAATTTATTCAAAACATTACATTACATTTAGAGGAATCCTCTAGAATGAAGATTACTTTTTTTAAGGTGTATATATGATTTAATTGATGAGAAAGGAAAAATTCATCGTCACGTACATCAGATATCAAGAATTTCATAGACAAGCAGTCTATCGTGGACGAGGGATCCCCACCATAGATCCCCCACTTCCGACTCTCTACTACGGAAGCAATTAGACAAACCGCTTTAAATACTTCCGAATTCCTGGAAATTAATAGTTACTTCCTAGTAGCAAACATGGCATTACCAAAAGAAAAAGCGCAAGCAGAGAGACGACGATTAAAAGAAATGGAAATTGACATGGCTCACCTAAATCTGGAAGACCCAGAATTAGACAATCCCTTCCAAATTGCATTTATTTCCGAGCCGCGAATATCAGAGGCGACGCCGGATCTAAATGACAACTTTATAAAAGCATTTTCGCGAAACCATACCCTTACACGTTGCGTTTACTGGAGGTCGTTCAACTTTCAGCGATACAGCTGAAGGCCAAAAACAAGATTTAAAAAATAATGCATAAAAACAGTGCGGGAAAAATAGTTCAATCAAGGTCCTCAAAACAATCAATGAAAATGAAGATAATTACGAAAAGAGAGAACAAAGTGTTAAGTGTGATTTCGGACATTAAAGAGTGAGGAGGGAAGTGATGGGCGAGGTTAGAAACAGAAAGTAGGAGCGTCTGTTTTGAGCGTACCGTTCTCCCTAGTTGTTTTACGTACGATATTTGATTAGACTTATTTAAAAACTGTATGAAAAAAAGAGAAAAACCTTCCTGGATATAGAACAGAAAAGTGAAATTTTAAAAAAAGTTAAAAGTGGCGTGGACAAAGACGATTTTTTAAATTAATTTTTCATGATTGTTTCCCTATTTTAAATGAAGCTTGGAGAAGTTTGAAAGATTCAACTTTACGAAAGGTGTGGAAACATATTCTAGGTGATTTTTGTGAGCCAGATAGCCATCAACAATCAACAGTTACCATTCAGCAGTCGTCAGTTAATTGTCAACCTAATGATGAAGAAGTTGAAGACGTTACGAACATAAGAATTCCCGAAGAAATTAGTGCCGCTCTTTCCTGCCTTTGCTCGCAACCATATTTCTTAATAGAAAATTCAGAAGTTTTCCGCGAATGGTTTGAAAATGAAGAGGACGATTGTGGCTGAAAGCCATTAACAGAAACTGAAATTGTAAAATTTATTCAAAATAATCGAGATAAACTCCTGTTGAACGCGATCCACGGTGTGCCTTAACCAGACTCAACCCAAAAGTGATCAGTAAAAATTTTGTTTTTCAGTGAAAGTATATGAAAAATAGAAACTTTTCTCACAAAAATCAAAATAATCTGTGGAACCGTTTTTAAGAACGGTCCCATTGAATATTTTCGCCATTAAAAGTACTTTTTTAAATAAAATAGCGAAAAGAAGTTTATTATTGTATTACAGTTTTTGTCGCGGATCCAGGGGACACATTTACATGCCCTCCCCCCCAAGAAACATAGTGGGGTTTTGGGGTAAAAACCTTCACCCCCGTGAAATTTTGAATTTTTTTGAGAAATCTAAGCAAACATAAAATCTTTTCTGAAATTTTTTTTCTACAATTTTCACTATCACTGATAGAGATTTTAATCTACAAAATCGTTGGTAATAGCAGTTCTTATAATGCGGCAAAAATACAGAATCTAAAATGAAAAACATAAAATTTTGTAATTTTACCATTTGAAATAATTGTGAAATCTCTGATGATTTTGACACTTTCAATGTAGGTAAAAATAGTACCAACTTTTAATGTAGCAAAATAACTAATGACTGAGAAATTACAGCAGATGGGAAAATTCTCATTGCCTAACGTAAACTTACCATGTTTAAAATAACAATTATCAGGAAGGTGGAAATTTTCTTTTTAC